CAACAAGACCATTAAACACACTCTGAAGGCTAAGCTTGGCGCTGCCAAGGGTAATTAGGTCGATGACCTCCCAGAAGTTCTATCGGCATATAGAACAACTACGAGAACCTCTACTTCAGAAACGCCCTTCTCGCTAGTGTATGGCTGCGAGGCTATGATCCAAATGAAAGAAGGGACTGGTTCGCTTCGAAGAGACCTATTCAATAAAATAGACAATGAGAAGGGCACCGCGGCAATGCTCGATTAAGGATAGCATCCTACCAGCAGCGCGCAAAAAGGTTCTTCGATTCTAAGGTCAAGAGAAGAGGCTTTCAAGTCGGCGACCTAGTTCTGAAAAAAGTCCTTCTCGGTACAAGGGAACTGAGCGCGGGGGTATTGGGACCAAACTGGGAAGGCCTATACCGCATCGCCAAGGTGATAAGGCCAGGAATGTATCACCTTAAAAGACTTAACGGTTCCGAAGTACCGCGAGCTTGGAATGTTGAGCATCTTCGCCCCTATTACCAGTAATTCCGAACTCGCTCTTAATGTTTAATCTCCTTGTAAAAATTTTCCTTGTAAACTTTGTAAATAAGATCACTCTTAAGCAAATTTATCTTGTATGATCTTGTTTATCGCGATGTTTTTACAAAACTTTCTGTTCGCATATGTAACATTAGTCTTGTGGAGTACGCAAAATTATAATGGCTATCACAAATAGCTAAAAAAATATTTCTTTTATTTATGTAATAGAGATCAGTACAGAGAAAATTAGGATATGCAGAAATAAGATTGAAGGTAAGGTTGTGCAGAAGCAGGAAGAAGCGATCACTGGTGTCCACCTCCAGACCCTGAGGGTGTGACCTCGGTATCCCCCAGTTGGTCTCCAACCACTCGACCAACTACTAGGTCCTCTAGGACATATTCCTCCGGCTGATCGCCCCCTAAAGGAGACTCTTGTTCCTCCTCCCCCATGTCATCATTAGCATCCGCCATGGAAGTGAGGATGTCCTGGTACTCGATCGGCAGGTTAGAAAGGTCTATCCTCGGGTTCCTTGGCCGTAGGCTATAGATGGCCTGGATCACGCAATCTACAACCTTCTTTTCAATTTCCAGGCTTTGCCGCTTCATCTGATCAGTTAATGAAGTGACCCGCACCTGGGAGAATTCAAGATCTGCCTCTAGTGTTCTCTTCTGCTTCTCGGTGTTTTCCCATAACCGAGCTCTTTCTTCCTCTACCTTCTTGGCCCATTCGGAGTTTGCTTGTAGCTCCTACTCGTTCTCGCCACACTCTTTGGTGAGTCTGGCCATTGTCCTCTAGAGCTCTTTGATCTCTTCTCCTCTCTTCTCGAACTCAGCCTTCTGGAACTCTACTGTACGAAGAACAAATTTCCTCTCTACCGGGTACTAGTTTGCTTAGATGTGATATGCCTTTGCCTCCACGTCCACAGCCGCTAGGTCCTGCTTCAACTTTGCATTTTCTTCCCTCAACTTGTGGAGCCCCCCAGCAGAGTCCATGTCGGTCTTCTGTTGGGCCAAGTGTAGAGCGAGTAGAGACTGCATGGGAAAGAAAACAAGGTTTAAACTTCATTGTTCTAAAAAAACATAAAGGGTATGAAAACCAACCGATATTGGGAAACCCTCGATGAAGACGAGCTGCCTTACTTGGCTTTGCAGCTGAAGCACTGTAGTGATCAAGTCCGCAGGTCAGGAGGCCACAAACTCTTCAAAAGCCGCAGCAAGTTAGCACTCCAACAAGGTGTACACCACTGGCTACAAATGTTTCGGAAGTTGTCACATGGAGTCCAACACAAGTGTGTCAGCCCTTGAAGGAGTTCGCACCTCGCCAACCGGCTCTTTGTCCACTCTCCTTTAGGAGACCACGGCCTCCCTCTATCCCCTACGTGAGCGCTCTAGGACTATTGTAATGTCAGGCGCAAGCTTCAGGTTCGCCCCCGAGCGAGAGGCCTGGTAAGGCTGCGACCTCCCAAGCTACACCCCCGAGCCCTCTGGCTCGGACTTTGATTCCTTAACTAGCAGTTATTTCCTCTTCCTGGTTTTTTGGCCTATGGTTTCCTACTTAGAGACGCAAGCAACCGCGGGCTGGGAAGCTTCCCTTGGTCAATCTGTGGGTGTTCGCGATCCCATCTGTGTCCCTCTGATGGGGGGATCGTCAGGGATTGCCTCGGCTGGCTCAGTGGGGGCGACCCGGGGAAAAACAAACCCTCTAGCCCTTATCGACGGTCTTGGGACTCTAGGTGACATGGTCGCTGCATGAAAGTATGATTAGTAAAAAAGGTCACTGCATGTAAAAGAAATAACTTTTAAAGTGCGCGGACACTTACGAACTAAGGGTTTTAGAGACGCTTCAAAATTGAAGAAATCGTACTTCCTCAAGTTGGCAGTTGTCACAAGTAGTCTCGCATCGCGACTCTACTCGAGCAGATTACTGAATGCTACTATTTGGTTGAAATCAGTTAAAGCCAAATACCTGGTCGTCTTGTTTCCTGTGAAGGGACAGAAAAGTTTGTCAGAAAGCAAAAACTGAAGGAAAATAAAAAAATTCGCAAAGCAAAAGAAGGAAAAACCTACTCAGTTCCCTAAATTGGCAGATGCCATCATATTGAAAAAAGAAAAATTTGGTTTCGTAGGCCCTAACATTACTGAGGTAACCAAATATGCCTCTCTCGATCGTAAATCGCATCGAGAGGTAGAAAGAGTCTTTGTCCTTGCTCTTTTTCAGATAATAAGAGCATGCAAGCTCCAGCGCAATCAACTGGCCGAGGCCATTTTCGTCACATGCGATATACATAGCCACAGCTATCATATACGCGTTGGGCGTCAGTTGCAGTGGTGCGACCTCGAAGTGATCGAGGATCAACTTAATAAAGGGGTAGAAAGGTATCAGCGCCCTGCATTTGAAAATTGCCTCGGAGATCGCGGCCATTCCCTCTGGGGGATTCCAAGTTGTATACGTTATGTGCTGGTAGACGTCCACGCCAAGTGAGTATTGGTCCACTGCCTTCTATATTTCATCTCAGGTGGCCATTGACAGGATCTCTTGCACGGGACCTGTCGGGGCATCCTATGCCTGCAAGCTTGTCCCTTCGGTTGTTCTGGTCGCTGAGGCATCCATTGCTCCTACCGTTTGAAAAAGGGGCGACACACAGAGATTACTCAGTCTTCGTACAGTATTATGTACGACGACATGGAAGAACAAAATAACCCTAATGTACCTTCCTTAAACCTTAGAAAAACCTTTAAAAAACCCTTGGGGACCAACCCCAAGGATTCGTGCCCTAAATACTTACTCTTTATAAAAGAAAAAGTCTTTTCCTCACAACTGCCCATAAACACGTACCAAAAAGGTTTACCATACAGTTCACACCCACCATTATCGTCAAGACAAGCTATCTACAAAGCATAAAAGAAAAGTAAAGGAGAAATCAACCCTCTTTACCTCTTTGCTGTGGGAACGGACTTCTTGTTGTAAACAAAAGGTGCGCACCAACTGGAAAATGGGAAGACTGGTCTCGTCAGAACTTTGTTCTTTCTCTGAAATATGAGTTTCGTGACAATGTTTGAGGCGAGCCTGGGGTTTTATAAGGGGAGGAAGCGACTATTGATTTTCCCTAAGTTAAGCGACGCTTGGGCAGAATACGTTTCTCGCCATTGATTACAACCACGTGTCATCAATTTGCGAGAAAGAGTAACCGCCACGCTTCAAGAACGTTAATCAACACTTCCCTCCATTGGAATAACCAAGCGACGACTCAATTACCTCGTCCACATTAAATGCGTCATCATCCGCATTTAATGCCTTGAAAGGGAATATCGTTTCAGCATGGCTTGCATTTAATGCGTATGGCTAGCACTTATTACGCACTAGACACGTTTATCAGAATCAAGATTATTTTTATTAAAAGGATTAGCTATCAAGTGCAACGGGTAACATCTGAAGAGGTCGTTTGGGTAGAACACTCTTCGCCGCATATTGATTATGAGACAATGCAATTCTTTGTCTTCGGTAAAGATATGCTAAGTATTATCAAGGTGCAGACCGCAGATGGGATGTGAAGCACATCGGTACGGCATTGAGTAGGGTCTGATCCAGGTCGTCAACTTTGTGGAAGAAGGCCATCTCAGGTTGCTCGTAGAGGCATGTGTTGCGACCTTCTTGCAACTCGGTCAGCTAGACCAAGTGTCATTCGAGACAGGTCAAGTCGCAGCATAATTATGAAGTTCTCAAGGTTCAATCCTTAAACCTTAAAAACTGGGGGACTTCTGTTATGCCTGAAAATCAGGGCTGACGTGGACTCTCGTCAGCAAGAGCCAATCACGGTTCAAGAAGGTTCTGTGCCGTCCAGGCACTGCCACATCGCGCAGTAACGCAAGTGGTATGGTTTTTGTTAGTGCAGTAGGTGGGTATCAGGCTTGTGAGTGGTTAGGAATTAGCCACCTGCCCAAGCCCTGCACAATTTGAGGATATTTCTCATGCAGACCACTAATGGGACGCAAAGAAGGATTTGCACGGCACCTACCCACTTGCAGACTTGTAATCATTACCTTGGACTCTCCCACTATAAATAGAGGACACCCCTCTCATTTGCGGGATTGGCTAATCTTAATCTAAAATAGCTTACACGTTCTCTCTCTCTTTGTATTCTCTCCAGATTATAACTCAGCTCGCTGTACGCGACCTGATCTTACCCATCTATTAATGCAATAACAATGAACGTATGATTCGCTTTTAAGCATCCGAACCACTTTAAATATCGTTTCTTATTTACTGTATCATTTCATTTTTCTTTATCACATGTGATTTCTAAATCCGCTTAGCACTTTACACGTGCAAGTCGTTAATGTCAAAATTAAACATCATCAATGTGATTGTTATAATATTTAGTTTTTAGATAGAAATTATGAAATTCAGCTCATTTTATTCAGATGTATTTATTTAAAAATATGTGGAAGTATGAAAAAGCAAACAACAAAAAACCTAAATATATTTAGATTTAATATAAAAGTGACAATCACACCTTATACAAATAATTTAATTTTGTTAAAGAACAACTCGAAAGATAATGTAAAAAAAATGAACTCAAATGGCATATCTCCTCTCCACCTGCACATAATTTCCTATCAAAAGGGTTGTGCCAGTGCCACTATACTTACAAAGGTGGAAAACTGCACAACTACGCAACTATACTCAATGCTTTGTACAACTTGAACAAATTTACATGCCAAAGCAGCAGCCAACATCATCCTGGAGCACAAAGAAGGCCACTTCCTCTGGCAACTAGAATAATCAATGCAGAAGCCAAAATTGATAATTCCGTTCTTGGGCACTAGAGTTTCAAGTCATGAGAGAGGCTCATGCGCCCAAAACGTGTCCGGATCCGAGCTGAACAGGGAAAAATCTCGGATTTCCAAATTAGCTATGTGCCAATCAACTAATCGAGCTTGTATTGATTTAAATAACACAAGGATAGTTGGTAAAAGCCACCATTTATTGTCCGCCCTATCAAGAATACAATTCAAAAACTGTATAAAACCTATTTAAGAAATTTTCCAAAACAGAGAACAGTTAGTTATATCTAGTTCAAAGCTTCACCTTATAGTTCTCCAAGTATTGGCGTTATCAGGTGGCTCAAAACATGAAAATCCGTAGTGGAAAATACCAGAAATGAAAGCCACAGCCTACAACAAACAAAAGGAATCACATAATAACAACAAAATTTTACTGACATGACTATAGGAACGTAAATATTGAAGTTGAAAAATATGCACCAATTAACCACACACCTAAATAACATAAAATAGAAAATTGATCTCAAATTTTAAGAAGTTAAAATAGTATTGCAGTTACATATAGCATGAATAGGTCAATTAAGATGCTGTATAATCAAGTAATTTAACAGCGATACTCTAGGCATAGAAGTTCTAACGTTTTTGCTATGCGCAAATTCCTAAATCGCTCTTGTATTCTTTTTCTACATCTTCTGCCCTTCTACTCTACTTATTATAATTTGAAATAGTTCACTAATGACTATATATCAATAATTCAATGATACATTCATATTAGAAATCCCTTCAAAATATAGATTCATCAGTAGTCTCCGACAGGCTTCAGCGACTGATAGCTGTTGAAAGTAGAAGAGGGACTAAAGCTCGTAAAAACAACAAAATAATTGACTTTGGAATCCAAAAATGTAAAACCTAAGTATCGAATGGTAAGGGATGACTTTTGAGTTGAGTAATACTACATGTACAAACTAATCCATACAAATTGAATACCCAACATGTTTGTCACATCTATCACTATAATTTCTTTCATTTATCTTTTAATTTAAACCATTCAATCATATGAGTTAGTTTGTACATATATTATTCTTTTGGGTTATACTACCACCTTTCAAACTCTAAAACAAGCTCAAAGTAACTATCTATAGAAACAAAAGCTTTTAGCTGTATCTGACTTGTAATAAGAATGCAAAAAGTAATCTTAAAAAGAGTACTATGTAATTAGCATAACTTACAAGATTGGATAGAGATGTAGTATTCCACAATGCATATATACGAGAAAGTGAAGATCTCCTAGGTTCTTTACTGAATAAAGCATTTAAGCCAGCTGGGAAGGGAGAAAGTAAGGATAGAGGAAGAATAAGTAAGACAGCAAGGAATGCCCCAAGAGAAATCCAATAGAACTCAAGTAATGTAAGGAGGGTAATGCATAGATCTGCCAAAAGCATAATAGTTATCAGAAGCTGAAGGGTATCCTGAAACACAGAATTTCAAGTGTTAGATGACAAACAATAACATCACATTCAGCCTACTATACAGGTGCTAAATGCAATATCAATGAAGTACCTGACGACCAACAGGTCTAGTGTTGTGCAATAAGAGAGAAAGTGGAAATAGAAAGTCCCTTCTAAACTCTAAGGATCTCAAAGTAGCATCATTTATAAGACCTCCATTAATTCCTCCCGTTATCTTTTTTAGAGATAATGGATGACTTGTGTAAGGCCGACTTTGCTGCAGCTGCTTATTGCTTCTGCCTGGACATGCTGTATTTTTCCTAGAAAATTAATCAATCAACAACCAAGTGAGCAATACTTAAAGAAAACAAACATATATACACAACTGGTAAAGCAATCACTAAACATAGATTTGAATTAGACCAAGCATCATGTGGACACAACATTTTGTTGGCCTACTTGTTTGCTCGTATAGCGTGTATTAATTCTTTCCTTTGTTCAGTTTTCTTCTCCAGTAAGTATCTGTATCATATTAATCTAATGAACAATACAGTGCAGGTATCCTCACCACTAAATGTGATAAAATAAACGGAGATAGACTACAAAGGTGATATAGCATGATCAAAGGCAAAATCCCCATTCTTCATGAGAGATAATCTAAGAATAGTGAAAGAAGCAATTAGCAGTATTTGTTCTAACATGTGTTTCTGTGTCTGACCATGGTTTTAGACATGAACTCAACACAAAAATATTCTTTAACACAATGATCAATAAATTTGTATAAATCACAGCGAACTTTTGTGAACCGTAGTCAGATTAGAGCTTACAACTTATAATTACCTTGGATATTCATCACTTCCATCCAACAAATCAGAGTGGTGCATATTCTGCAGAGAATAATCACCAACCACAACTAGGATACCGAGCTGATAGTAACCAGAAGCAGTTGGTTGAAACCACCCTAGCTCAATTTTTACCCCATGGAACTCAAGTTGGGGGTTTCCATGACTACTAATCCAATCAATAACATGAACCAATGTGGAACGAAGTGATCCTGCCCTCACAGTCCTCAATTGAGCATTAAGACCAGAAACCAATCGATTCCAAACAGTTGCTGGGACATGCTGGGAGAAACATATCTTTGTGTCATGTTAATATATTAAAAATAAAGAATGATGAAGAACTGAGACATGATAAAAACTGCTAAGAGACCTGGCCAAGAAGATTGGTCAACAATGCATCACTGTGAAGATTATAAGGTGACATATAGCTTCCATTCCCACCAAAAATAATACACATAGGAAACCTCTTCTGTATAATGGATACCATGTCCAAGCGCTTCTCATCACCACCAAGGAAAAAATCAATGTATGCAACCATTAAGTCTGGTGAAGCTCCAACCTGCATCAATTGCCACTCATAAGAACAAGATAAAACCTAGATAAAGTTGAACATTTTACAACACAAAGGTAAAATATCCGTTAACATTTCTCAGCACACTAGCCTCCCATTTACTGAATTTACAGACAAAGGGAGGATGTCTTTGGGTAAACATCTCGAGGGATAGATAGCTTAATTAGGTGATTGAATATGCTTAGAGATTTTTCTCAGTTCCATAGTAAACCAAAAGGGGCAACATGCATATGAAGTGTATAGTAAACAATATTTTCTGCCAACTAAATTCATCAATTCCCATTCCCTAGCAAATCTTCTCGGTAAAATAGTAGTCAGAAATAAGCTTGCATGTCGTGCCAAATGATGGCAATTGTTTATGGAAAAATCTCATTGACACATTTACCATCAATTAGCTGTACTGCATAGCTTAAACACATTGTATTATGCATGTTCTTTTCTAATAAAGGATCAATAACCAACTGGGTATGTTGCATAATTAAGCCCATTGGATGATCTGAACTCCAATTGTATTTTCGTTCTGCATATTGGACAGGTATTCTCAAATATGGCTTCGCCAGTCAAGATTACGGGGTAACTGCCAGTGCCAGATGCTAGTTTCATACACCAGCGAATCCCTATCTTTTCTCCCTACCATTCAGGTATGAGTTCCATGAGATGGATTTTTGAAGGCTGAGGGAAAAGGAAAGAAGAATAGCGAGCAAATGCAGAAATATGCCTCCTCTAGGAAGTTGATAAAAAACATCATGCTAGTAACAATAGTAAGGATGTAAAAATCAGCTAATAAACATGAGAAATCATTATAATCCTCAGAAACCTGCTTGCGGTAAATACCGCAAAAAAGGCTCTAAAATTCACACCAAAATCACTTGGAGAAAAAGGCTCTAGAATAATAAACAAACAAGTCAGACCTTCATCCCCTTGTATAGAGCACGTGATCTACAAGATCGGAGACACGAATGGTCATATTCAGACTTAACATATTCCTGAAGGCGATGTATTTTCTTTCTCCTCCGCCATTGTTTCCAGGACCAAGCACAAGGATATGCAAGCACTGTAAGTATGCTATGAATGGACCCTTCCCACCAATCATATGCAGCAACAGAGTTGATCTCATCAATAAATCTGTTAAAAGCATCTTCATACCTGCAGATAAAAATGACTTGCATGATATAAATATTTACCATGTGATTGAAAATAGAGCAAGTGGATGCTAAAATAATATAATGCTTCCAATAGCACAGATTTTTTATTTTTCTCCCTTAGGAAGGGTTCTTCAATCAGAAAGCTTCACCAAGGAGTTTTTAAAGGACCAACAACCATCTCAGTAAAGATGACTGCTAGCAGGAGAAAAGGTTCCTGCTTGAAACTGGCTGAGTTTACCAGGTACATGACTATTGAGTGACAGCAATACTTTCAACGTTGAGAACCAACTTATATCTTGAGCAGGTGTAAGATTAACCCAAAAGTATCACAATATTATAATAGCATCCCATTGCACCCATCAGACAAGGTTCCAGTAAGTCAAATACTTTCTTACACAATCTCAATAATTGCATTGGCTGGAGAGTAAGGAAGATGCCAGGGTTCTCTAAAAGTATTGGGACCTGTAAAGTACATTCTCTGCACATGACTTTGAGTTTCTTCGGCTCTGGCTCCCCGTACCTAGATCAAAATAAATATAGCACAGTGGCATCATGAGATGTTGTAACTTGATCCTGCTATAGCTGCTGATATCATAAGTTGAAAAACAAAGAGCTTGCTACCAAAATTGTACCTGTGATAGGGAAAGAAGATATGGAAAATGGTCATGACTATGGTGCTCTGTTGTATTTGTCCCATATGAAGAACTTGATCCAACCAATTTGATTCTCAAAGTACTCAACAGAAGAGCTAGAAGCACTAAGATGAAAGACAGAAGAAGTGCAAAAGGCCACGGGCCTCCAAAGGTATACATCAATTCCTCAAGAGGTGTAAAGCAATTTGGCATCCTATACTTGTCCGAAATGCATTTATAGGGACAAAATGGCTGGCTAACCCCCCCTGCAATTTAAACTTTATGTCAGATAGTGGCATGAGAATTGGAAAAGAGAAGGGGAGAGAAAGGCAGTAGCATCTCTAACAAAATAGGCCAAAAACTACCTCGTACATATATGAAATTCGCACGCTTGGGAAGAAGGTCGAGAGGGCAAGGAGTGCAAAGACTTTCATCAGAACCATCCACATCTTTATAGGTGCCAATAGGACATTCCTGCAGATAACCTCGTAATAAAATCCAAAGGAATTATTTGTGTTGTTTATGAAGTAGAGTTTGTAGCAAGGAATTCACCTCTTGCTAAGAACAAAAAGTTAATTCAATATCTGAAGACGGTAATAAATTTCATAAGATATAAGGTAATGTTATGTTATGATGTTATGCATTTCATAGACAAGTTTTTTATGCTGAAATACGATAAATATATAGTTAACAATGAGGGAACAGAAAAGCTAAGAATGTAAATGGATCATACCCGGCAGAATGTACCATAGAGACCTTTTGGGCATTTTTTTCCAGTAACTGTGCCCCCTTCCCCAGAAAGATCACCATTGTCCCCAGTACCTCCACTGTCAGACATGATAGACAAATTAAATATGGTGTTATCAAACATATATTCATTTGTGAACAGTTCCAATACTTTATATTTGTCAGGCATATATATTACTTTTTCTGGTTCACAGTAAACCAACACCAACTAAATTGATATAGAGGGTTTCATGGAGACATGACAAGTATCAGCCGTGGCAAATGCATGAAAGAATAAGGCATACCTGCTGTTAATGGAACCATTTATAGTTGCCACTGGAACATACTCAATCCCAACATCAATTTTAGACCAATGAAAATGAACTCTCCCACCACCACCACCGCCGCCGCCAGGAAAGCCACCATTGCCCCCGACAGCAGATAATAATGAGTGCTTCTCTAGTGTGAGCTCTCGAAGGAAAAGAAGGATAGTCCCACCAGAACCTCCACCAAGTCCACCATTCAAAGAACTGTTACCGTTTATTGTTTTCTTACCACCGCTTTGACCATCAGCCCTCAAAGATCCATAGATATCAAGCCTTAACAGTGGCCACTGGATGGATCCGATAACTAGTAAAGGTGAAGAATCAATCAGTAATTCTACCTGAATATGATGCCACGGAAAATGCTAATAGATGGTAGTGCATCAAGGATAAATAATATGATGGCCAATTTTGCAAACACAATAATTCAAATTTTAAAAACATGTCTATGGTAATATACTCAAAATAATTACATAACTAAATAAATTGGGAAATCTTTTGTGAAACTTGTGATTTTTAGAAATACATACCGATCATCCCGCCTCCATTCACATGTTGATATGACTCATTGGGGCCCTCAGTTCCACTTCCCAACTCACAGGGAAGATCAGCATTGCCATATTCATGACCACCATTGATCAACCTCCCATTGAAAAATCCTGACCCCCCTCGTCCCCCATGGCCAGCTCCACCACCAGCTCCATTAGAATAAATACCCTTTCCAATACCTTCACTGCAACCTGAAAAAATAAAGTGTCCTTATAATAAGAAGCATTAAACGTACCAAGTTAGACTTTAGTTAATGAAATAAAAGATGCTAAAGATGATGAAGTTGGGAATACACCCTATTACCCAATTCTGATGCAACAATAGTGCCGTCTGTGTCAACAACAATTGTCCTAGCTCTGTGGATGTGGATAATACTTCCCTTGATAAGGCCACTGACAAGAAGGTCCTCAACGCGACAGATCTATTAAAATTAAACACAACATTCATCTTCAAGAAATACCGATGTAAGACAATAAACTAATTAATAAGTTTTTGAAAATGTTTCCAGCAAAATCCAAGGTTAAGAAACAAGCACCAGAGAAAGTAAATGGGATAAGAGTTAAAAACTAGCACTAAAGATGACATGAATCCATTCCCAAAAAATATCTATAAGACATAACTATCATGGTGGTGTTGCAGGAAAAGTTTATGTTAGTTGTGAGACTCAAAGCATGGAGTATTCATTCTTCTCAACTGATCCAGAACTCTTCATTTTAGATAGAACTTCCAATCACCTTCTGTCCCTTTTACTTATATATGCTTGACTACTGGGAATATTCCTATGTGCATAGCATTATTTTTCCATCTATTTTAGCTTTCCGATTCCAACACTTCTTACAGACAGAAAGAAAACCATTGAAGCCGCCTCCACAGTTGAAAAATACTGCTGATTAAAACTGAATCTTACTTGAAGTGAAAAGGACAGTGTGTAATTAACATGGCAATCATCAGGAGGAGTAATCAAATCTATTGGGCATGTCTGACTATTACAAAGGGATTCAGTAACCCTACAAAAAAGAATTGAAGTTTTAGGATTAAAGAAATATTTCCATACTTAGCCTCAGTGACTACAACAATATGAAAAATCCTAAAACCAAACCAAATTTTTACTCACACACTTCTACCAGCATCATCATCCAGTGGAGCTTGTAATAGAGAACCTGGCCCAACCTGTAATGTGCAAGGAGCAGTGAGGTAATGATCCTCAACAAGAGTGTAGAAATGTAATAGAAGGATAGGGATATTATCAGTAACAGAAGAAAAACACAGTTCAAAGAAAAAAAAATTCCCCTTTTTGCACTAAATAGTCTAATTACAGAAACAAGTTCACAGTAGAGGCACTGGAAGCTATCACAACATTAGTTGCTAATAGATATTGGATAAATCTAAATAGCATTTCCTGAACAGTTTCAGAGGAGGCATGAGTTGCAGCAAAGGGATCTAACTCAACAACATGCTAAATCCAAGTTGAGAGTGCAAAGGAAAGCAATATAGCTGCAGATAAAGGGAAAAATCCTACATTTAGCAATATCCTCTAATGAATCAATACAGACTTCTTTTTCTTAATACTTACTTTTCACAGCAACGACAAAAGATGTGGTCAACTCACATCTCTTTTGCATTGTGCATAAACATAAGTTATCAGCCAGTACAGTAAACATATTAATCTATCTCACCATTTCTATTTGGTTTTGATGTCTATAACACAAAGCACAGTCCTTATCAATTTAATAGATCTTAATAACAAGCAAATAGAGGCATGTAAAGATATGAATGAAGCATATTGATGGCTTACAGTTATGTTATAAAAAAGAGACAACGAAAGTCGTTGGCCTTTGATTGCATCACCAAGACCACTCAACTTCAGCAGTCCTTGACCATATACACCCAAATTTGCATTTGAACTAATGACAGAGTTCTCCTGAAAAGACAAGAAATCATGATGAGCATGCCAGATTTTTTTTTAGTCCTGAAAACATAACAACAACAGATAAAACTCAAAATATAAAGGATAAGGCTTTAAACCTCATCATACCCTTAGAACAACTAGATTCCTGACTTCAAGGACAGAGGTGGTGACTATAGTATTTCCGCCGCCATCAATTTGAATTTTGGAGTTCCACATGAGCAGCATTTTGATTGAAATTCTAAATGCACCAAAAACCTTCATATCCCAATTACTTAGTCAGAAAGAGTCTATTTTGTATTCAGCTCTATTCATTTTGATCATTGCTCTTCAAGAAATTAAAAAATAGTACTTACTTATAACAAATAATAAGAAGCATAATAACTCAGCAAATGTAACATACTTTTATGACAGAGTCACTCATCAAAAGTTCTTCGGCGACAAGCTCAAATTCTGACACTGGAAATCTAGATAACCCAAAAACAATGCTGCTTCCACAATATAGGCTAATTTGGCCTCTCACCTTCAAAACCAAAGAATGAGATAAATACGTGTTTCAAAACGGAATTAGTAAAAATTAAAGAGACTGATTTGAAGAAACGTAAGAGTTGTGACTTTAGTACTACAGCATAACTGGATTGCTTCTTTTCCCCTCTCTATCTTCTTCTTCTTCTACTACTTCTCCAATCCTCTTTGCAACTTATCTATCTCTGCACTTCCAAATCTGGGAATTTTAGCCGTTTTACCCTTCCCCAGAATATTCACAAGCCCTAAACACTCTCTTCTTTATCAATCCTATACCTTAAACTAATTTCCCATCCTAACCCAAAACTGATCTGATCTGTCCTATGTCAAAGTAACTAATCATTATTGATGCATAATTCTCAAGTTAATGTTTGCAATCAAAATATATAGATAGAACCAGTAATGTTCAATCATCATAAGTGATCACAAAAAGATCCATCAGAAAACTGCAGCAACATTCAGGATACATGATTATTAAATAAAAATAAAAAAATCTAGAAGGACTAAGAATGATACTTAATTAAATTGGAATTTCTAAATGACAGATACAGATAGAAAGGAATTGATAAATTCCACTTAGCTTAATCATTAAATTATGCATCAAGGAGAAACAATTGCAACAGGAGACATGGAGACAAAGGAACCCATTTTACCAATACCTTGTAAAGCATACAAAGTGTTTAAGAAAATTCCTAAATTCATGAAAATAGTACTAGTATTGAAGGAGACAATGATTAAGCAACCTGAACTCTGGTCCAAAGTAATGGAACCAAAACTTTTGCATTGTTCTCCACAAAAACATTTGACCATAGAGGGCCAGTAGGAAAATCAAGCAGAGGAGTTTCTGTTTCTGTCGTGAGATTATCATTGCCAACTCTTAAACTCGATAAATATGCATTAAAGTGTGTACCAGCAGCTCCAGCATTCTCAGGACAACCAATACTAAAACCACCTGCAATAGGAAAAGCATATTATGTAGACTAAACAACAGTCGAAAAAGTTCCATCCGTTGTTTATAAGAAAGAAAGAAAAAAAAAAAAAAAACAACAACAACAACAACAGCAACTTATCATCCTTCTAATAATAATCCTTACATAAGTCAAATGTAATCACCAATTCAATCTCTCCCCACAGGAAGATGCACATAAACATTCTATTGATGGATATAAAAAGAAATGCTGAATGCAAATAAACTGTAAAGCAAATAAAAAAAGAAAAGCATACGAACTAGATTTTTTAAGTTAAAATGAAAAGTATGAAGCTTAGGGTGAAAAGAACCTAGACATGTTTTCTATCTGAATAAAATGCTATGAATATGGGAACTACATGTTGGATACTGACATCATCGCAGTATAAAATAAAATCAAGATGGTTAAAATCTCAACAGATAACATTTTGCAATTATTTGAAGGGCAAACATCCTACTATAAATGCACAAAATACTTGTTGCAATTTTTTTTTTTTTTTTTTTTTTGGGGCAGTATTTTAGTTTTTATACATTTCATTAGCAGGTAGCACTGTGTTGAATATTATCAAGATCTCAATTAAATATCAATAACTTTATAGGCATCTTCCACTATTAATGTAATTCTGAAACCTGCACTTATTTCATTCTAAGGAGATCATCCTTCTCTTTTCCATTCAAAAAGATATTGGAGGCAAAGTAAAATAAAACCAGCAACATCATTTTGACTTGACGACAGAAATATTGTTTGTGATTTCTTATTAAATAATTTACTCCCTGTAACAACAACTTTCAATATCTAACTATCTCAATATATCAAATAAGTTGAGACTTAACATAAAAAAAGAAATATTTAGCAGTTGTCTATCTTTGCTTTCTATTACTAAGTACAAGTGTGATCAGTACAAACCATGCACAGTAACTTTTATATCTTCTTGTATGCTGTAACAGTCCAGAGATATTCTTCCACCACCACCTCCACCCCAGCCTCTCCCACCTGCTGCACTTATAGTTCCATATCCCTTCCTAGTTAATTAGAACATGAAGTATAGTTGAGTATAGAGTTAAGAATTTACTGCAAAAATTTACTGATACAACTTTATTATGCATCCAATGATTACGAGCACAAGTATGTTCGATAAATTAGTCGAGGAAAAACTGTAAATGTTGAAACAAAGTCTATGCATTCACAAGCAGTAAAAGTTAAGATTTTATTGTTCTATAATAGCATCAACTACTGCTGACCACCAAGTCCATTCTTATTATACTGATACGATAACAACCATTAAGAGAATGTTCTGGTAAATTAAGCATCAGGAGATCTGCTATATATAAGATATCTATTTAACCATCAAACGTTATTTAGAAGGAAGAGCATGACTGTGTACTTCCGTAACACTTAATGCTGTTGGTTTGTTAATGTTTACCAATGAACCACCTGAATGAACTTGATTACCCATCAGGATACCATTGATACCATTAAGAGGTTCTTATGAAGTTAGATTCCAGGCAAATTAAGCATCTGGAGGTCTACTAAGTATAAGATAACTATTTGACCATTGTACCTTATTCTGAAGGAAGAGCATAGCTGTGTCGTTTAGTAGTGCAAGTACCAATGACCATATTTGATAAAGTTAACTCAGGTGGTTAAGTAGTAAACATTAACAACCAAACAGAAATAACTGTTATCCACCCCCAAAATCTAACATATAATATAAGTTTTCAATGAGAAGAGTGCACTCACAACTTTAGCGCAATGACGAAGATACTTCCACCAGACCCACCTCCTCCCTTTAGTCCTCCATCCCCACCTTCTGCAAATACTGATCCGTTCAAATATAGTATGTCCTTAGATTTAAGCAGAACACGTCCCCCACCACTACCTCCAAACCGATATTCATCAGATGTGCCGCCACCTTTACTCCCATAACTCCATGGCTTAGCTAAAGTTGACCAGGCATAAACATCACCACCCCAAAAACTTGTCTTGTTCTTTTTCAAACAGGAAGCACCCCGACCACCATGCCCTCCACCAGCTCCATCATAGCCTACTGGTGTACCACTGGTTTGAGAAGGTGGCAATCCACCTAAGGATGTTGTATTTATTAAAGATCTATGTTCCATAGTCAAATTGGCAGCAGAGAAAACAACTGAACCAGCAATAATGGCTGCATCTTGGCCCACATTAATGTTTCCAGACATATTAAACGTTATCATACAGCCTTCTATGGGGCACACGATTGAAACATGGGGAAGTATCTCTAGGTTCCCCGTACCATAAATGTAAAGATCAGAATTCAGATACAAGTTTGAGTTCAACAAGCATGTAGTATTAAATGATCCAACACCTTCCAAATCTCCACAGGATACATTATTATTCAATGGGGACGGCAAACTTAAAGTTGATGTTTTCGCATAAGAAGAGGTGCTACTCTTAGCATTATTACTTAAATCTGATTCAAAACTGTGCAACCAGTTTCCGGATGAAATTTCTCTACCAATGTTCGGCCCTAAACTAAAAGAAAGGGCAGGCATATAAAGATGCACAAACAAAATGCACCAGCAAAGGTAACCATGCATTGGCAAAGGATGCATTGCCACATGCAGTAACTGAATATTGAAGTTTCAGTCACACAGTGTAGACATGCGCATATATCGCCTCAGCTAGTTTTTATAGTCATCCGTCTAGTATATTATACAACAATATCAAGTTACTTAAATCACTTTGGAGGATTCCTGAAGCCCCAACCATTGAAAAACATGATGTTTCTACCGCCATCTGTCATACAGCCAAGTGAAAAAAAACCTGCCCTGCCACAAAGCAAATGAATATGAAAAGAGATCTACAACTAAATGTGTAAATGTTTAGGCAAGAAAAACACATAATATAAGCAGCATAACGAATTTGGATGACATTAACTACATCAAGCAAACTGTTTTTTAATTTTGAAAATTTTTAAGATTGAGACATGGACAACTTGTACCCCAATGAATTTGACCAATAAACCAATGGCAAAAACATGCAATAAAACAAGATTCAATAAAACAAGGGTCAACAACCACTTCATCAGAAAAGATGGGATTACAAGAAGAGTAAAGTATTTTCCCAAAATTAGTCTGCTATACTACATTTAAGATGTTTTATAATCATAAGCTTTCATGTAATATATTTAACTGCAAATAAAACCTTTTTTTTGTGGTAGCAGTTCAACAGCCACCAAAAAACCACTGTGTCTGATTACAAGTGTCCCTATTTTTTTATTGAAAATATCCCACACTCAGTACCCGTCATCATAAAAGTCAATATTTTAATTACTAAACTTCTCCACTAGATTAAAAAAATGTGAAGAACGGACCATTACTTTTTATCTTTTAGGTGAGTAAAGTTGAATTACCATATTCTAGATATTGAAACCCTCACATCCCTAAATCCGAAATTAAAAAAAAAAAAAAGTTAAGAGATAATTTCATATTAGTAGATAAATAGTGGATACAGAAGCTCTGCCTAATTGATCAGTGTAGACAAAAAGACACAAGCCACTTTTTAATGAGCAGGACCCTCTTTGCATATAAGTAAGCTTTCACAAATTGTAACAAGCTCCGGTTTCACAGTTCACACTATTGCACAATAAAATACAAACTCAAAAATACTTTAAAAAGCAAGGAAGTGATGATACACGTTTAAACAAAGAATCAACAATGCGAACACAATGCAGATCACAAATTCAACATGTACATCGAAAACTAAGAAACACTGAATTCTTATAATTTTTTAAATTAAAATCACTGAAAAAATACAAAATATAAAACTATCAAACGCAAAGCAGAGCAAAGTAAGTAACCGTACAGCAATCTGAACGATCATATCATCTATCATTTTATTTGCCATTTTTATAATTCAAAGCAAATCAGATATCAAAAGAAAAGAAAAAGAATCACATAATTTTTCACTAAAGGAAAATTAAATAGCAGAATAGAAATTCAAAATTCTTGAAACAGAGAGGGAGATGGAGAGTACCGTTTGCTAAGCGAGAAAGTGAGAGAAAAAAAGGCAGGAAAACTGAAGTGAATCTACCTATACGTGAAGCTTCACTTTCTCTTTCTGTTTTCTCTCTCAAACTTTATAATCAAAAATTCTTTCTACGTTGTCTCTTTGTTTTGTTTTAAATTTTTTTTAACTGAGAAAGAAGAGAGAAGTGAAGTCTTCTACGAGTCGAAGCTACGTTTACATAGCTGGACTCTGATAAAGATCTACGGCTGGAATTTTGCGTGACGAGGACTTTCTTCCAAAAATACCCTTCATTTGGCGTCAATTTTCCAAGATGCCACTTATCTTTAAAAAAGGCCCGTATGAAATTTTGCCAGATTGCAAAATTTGAATTGAGCTTAAAAATGAAGTAATCAAAATCAAATCATACCATCTCATTTTAAACGATAAGATTTGATTACTAATACAGCTTAAAAATTGGATAATTATGTGAATTTGAAAAAAAATTATTTATGCTTCATGGATATATAAAATGTTATATAAATCTAGTTGTAGAAAAAGATATTATTTTCAAAATAAATCGTTTATGTTATTTCAAGAATTATTTATTAATGTTTTTTTTCTTTTGAATCTTATATCGATATAAATAAAGATGAATAACAAGTGTCATTCTCTTTCTATTCTAATTTAAATAAGGATTTTATTAAGAATAATTATGGTTTATTTGAGTCCCCATATTTTAAAATTATTGGGGCCCAAACTTAGGTAAGATTTATTTTATATGATAAAATAATTGATCTCTAAATAATTATGTTATATTTGATAATTTTAAATCATATAATAGCCAATTTAACGTAATTATATAATTTATCAAAAGGGTGTACCGAGATTCTTTACTCTTAAAAATAATTAAAAGGAAAATCAGGACCCATTTACTGTAGGCATCCAATGTAGGAAGGTAAAAGTGTAATTAAAACAGAGAACAAGGGCTTTTATAATGGGAGTGGGCCCAACAGTTGTAACCGTTTTATTCGCATTGGTTTCCTGAAGGGGGGTCCACCTTTTATGCTCCAACCTGCTCTCTGTCGTTTTATGCCAGCTTCGCATTTCCTTGTTCTTTCTAATAGAGGGAGTGCGTGGCAGAGCTTCCTACTTTCTGCTTATTAATCTAGTTTGCCGGATACAGTCAATGTTTGAAAAACCGGATTGAAACTCAACTCGGTCAAAGGCCGGTTTTCAATTTTCATGATTGGACTAGTGACGTCAGTAAAAAAAAATACCTAGGTTTTAGGCTCTGTTTAGTTCATTATTGATAGTTTTTAGAACAATATTTTGAAAAAAATTAAATTGAGCGGGTCTTACGATGTAAGATTTATAAATTAACAAAAATACCCCTTATATTTGTTTATTTACTAAACACTCATATAATAAAATATTAAAAGTTAAAAAAAATACCCCCAACCCACCATTAAATACAGACAGCCAGCCACCACTATCGAAGGGCGACCAGAGTCGTCGTATCAGTGCATGACCGACTCGATCTTGCCGAACCAAATCGCGGCTAGATCTGGCAATTGACGGCCAGATCTAACCGCATTTGGTCGTCAACGATGGCCAAAGATATGGTCGTCGTTGACGACTATCTGTAGATCTGGCCTTTTTCGACTAGATCCAATGTGGATCTGGCCGAAAAAGGCTAGATCGGCGCACTACCAACCAGATTCAATCGGTAGTGTGCCATTACACCAGATTTCGACCAGCTTCCAGCAGTGGTAGCCGGAATCTGATAAATTTGGGTTACTGGGGTGTTTTTGTCAATTTTAAAAAAAAATTGGGGGTTGTTTAGTTAAATTAACAAATTTAGGGGGATTAAAGGAAATTGAATAATTTAGAAAACTATTTTGAAAATAGGTGAAATAAAGTTAACTTTTTTGGGAAAACTATTCTAGTTTTCCCAATATGTGAACCAAACGGAGCCTATATTATATAAAAACCATTAAACCAACCCAGCAATAACAAAACCATCAAAGTTTAATAGTTTTTAACAGTTAAAGTTATACAAATTCAATCCTCAAGTTCAAAGTTTCAAAGTTCAAACATCAGCAACAGCCATCAACGTACAAAATTACACAATGTCAATCTATTCCACTAACCAAACCACCATCCATTAGCAGCAGCAGCAAGTAAAAACCTAACCCAGCCATAAAAAAATTCAGCAGCAGCTCACGGCAAGTGAAGGGAACATGGAACACATCACCCACCACAACATAAACAGAAAACAGACCCCAAAAAAACCAAAACCACTTTTAGAGTTTTAGAAATTCAATTGACAGATTCACATCACAATAATACAAGATCATGATATGAAATAGAAGAAAGAGAAAGATAGGATGACTCTTGCAGTTTGTTACTTGGTTAACGGCAGACGGTAGCGGTGAGGCAGATGTGAAGGCTGAAGTTGAAGGAAGTCGCGAATCTGTAGCAAATCTTAAGAGGTAGACAACAAGGAAGAAGCAAGCTTTTAGACGGCGACAACGATGGCAATAGCGACGATTGAAAAGGTTGAAGTCGAAGACTTGAAGCTGAAGGAGATCGCAAATTGAGGAGGAGGAGGCGGCAAATACAATAGCAAAAATAGGTTAAAAAAAATTGGTTTAGGTTAGGGTTTTGCACTTTTGTTAGTGGAATAGATTTGGGTGTTAGGCCAATTGGACCGACGATTTGCTACAGTTGACGGTCCAATAGCAGTTTAAAGCAGTCTAATGCTGAATTCTGGTCTTTTACCCTCTTTGAACCGGTAAACTCAACGAAACCCGATTGGATCGGTTTGATCGCCCAGTCCAGTCTGGTTTTCAAAACATTGGATACAATAACCAATACACACATGTCTTTACTCACGTGGAGCTAGCGTGAGTACATTGCTATGGCATGACCTCACTCACGTGATCTTAATCAGATCGGTTTCTATTCTTCCGAAACCGAAACTACTTACACTAGCATAACAGGTTTAAAAGACCCCCCACAACCCGGACGCGTAACAAGTTTTAGACGTTCTATTTTTCTGAGGGTTATATATAAATAAACCCCCATAGGTTTGGCTTAATTATGCAAGTATCCGCTAGTTTCATTATTATATAGGTAACCCCCATTTCGTTAAGTTTTCCCATTAAAGCTAATTGCTAAGTAAGTAAACTTGATATTTTCACTTTATAGGGAGTGTATTTTTGACATTTTAAATGTTTGGAGAAACCCTAGAGATATTTTCTCCCTTTTCCCGCACTTCTTTTTCTTTTTCTGTTTTCCCTATTTCTCTTTTTTTTTTCTCTCTCTCTTTCCCCCCTCTTATCGAGCTTAGCTCGTTTGCAACAGGATCGAGCTCGAGCCTATCAAGTCAGAGAAAAAGGACTCGAACTTGAGCTCGATCGAGTTCAAGTTGAGTTTGAGCTAACTCAACTTCATCTTCATCATCTACATCTTTATCTCCATCATCTTAATCTTCATCTTCATCTTCATCTTCATCCTTTTCTTCGTCTTTATCTCCATCATCTTCATCTTCATCTTTGTCTTTGTCTTCGTCCTCATCTTCGTCTTCGTCTTCATCTTCATCTTCATCTTCATCTTGCAGAGCATTATAAGTTACGCTGCTTCTATCTCCATCTCCATCTTCTTTATCTTCATCTTCATCTTCATCTTCTTCATTAACACAACCATTATTTTGATTTTGATTTTGATTAATTATGAATATTTGCAAGAAAAAATTTAGAGCTAATTACATCGGGGGGTTAAATGTTGTTTTTACACATTTTTAAAATTAAAGATAAACTTGAATCCC